AACTTGCCAAGGTTAGAAAGAGGTTCACGGATCCTAAAATCGTAATGCATGCAGTGGAGGAAATCATCTATACGGTTACAAAATAGTCAGTTTCTGGAGCCACGATAAAGTCTCGAAAACTCTTTCAGACTCGACCACGTAGTTTCAACATTATTTATTTGTACTCCGGTTGTTGAGTACACAAAATCCTACTTGTCGATAACAACACAATGCACATAATCAAGTCTATGTAACAGTCTGTACGCTCTCCAAGCATCCGAATATATTGTAGTACCTGGCTGCAGCCAGTGTTACTGGTGCTTTTATTATCCAGTTCGCGATAATTGTCATGATTTGCCTTAGTTAGGAATTATATATGGGGTTTTCATCACGAACTGACATCAGCTATAATGCCAAAAATATATTTAGCCAAATAGATGAAAGGCTTTCGCGTTAAAATCCGAGATCTTTTATCTTATACCTGGTCGATTCGTCCACAATTTTTACTCTCGGCGTTTTATTTGTTATAGTCGCTCAATTATCACGTTTTATGCAAAATTCTTTGTGAACTGATCGTACGTTAGCGTCAAACACTGAAGATGGCGCCGTAACCTTGAAATCCCTAGAATGCTTCTGATTGGCTCGTCCATAAATTTGAGTCTCGCCGTGATTCTATAAACTAATGTATATTAAAAGATTGGTTACTTAAGCTTTTACTTTTCATCTCTTTCTAATAGTTTTTTAAGATGGGTTTTTGGTGAAACTATAATTTACGAATGAACCAATCAGGTATAAGATAACAGGTCTCAGATTTTGGCGCGCAATTCACTCATCCATTTAGATAAATACAGTTTTAGCATTATAGCTTATGTCAGTTCGTGATGGGAACCCTAAATCTAATTCTTAACCTTAACCATCAACTATAAATCATAATTCTAATTCCTCACACACAGATTTATAACCGTCATTTGATCTTAGTTACTAAGTTAACATTCTCAAGGTCAGTTCAGTGTCACTCAAAGGTCGTCCATAAATTATAGTTCTACTGAATATATAATCCAAGGAATTGATCATTATTCTAAAGCTTTCCTTTAAGAAATCAATTTTGACACTCTAACCATTACCATCACCATTATGATTAATGTTTTCATTATTCTAGTTAAAGTTGCTCTTATTGTTGGCATGGTATAAGATCAATATTCATTTAAAATACACAAAAAAAAAATGAAGATAATCCACTTGTTCTTAATATGATATAGATTTATATTACCGTTTCTTTTTTTTCTCCTGACAACAACAAAACAACAACAAGAAAAAAAATACACACATCAAGTTTCTAAGCTAAAACACAAAAAAAGAGTATGAACAGTTACTAATGGTAACCAACTGCTAACGATTTGAAGGGAATAGTATCTTCCTCTTCTGTTTCTTCTTCTTCTTCTTCTTCTTCTTCTTCTTCTACTACTACTACTACTCCTTCTTTAACTACATCTTGTTCAACTGTAGGTAACTATGTAAACGGATGAATTTTTTTCTTTTCGTATTACTATAAGTAGTGAAGAAGCAAATGTAGAAAAAAGAGAAGAGGTACTGCTAAAAAAAACATTTAAGAAGAAGAAGACAAAGAAGAAAAAGAAGAAGAAGAGAATCAACGTTGTAAGAATTCAATTTAAAGAAGAAAAAAATATCTACATTTCTAAGCTAAACGAATTGATGACTTTCATAGTAATTAATGTTTAAGGAAATTACCGTTTATGAAATATAAGTGGATTGTTCTTTTGCTGGTGTGCTTAATTGTAACTATTTTAATATGTATATTACACTGGACACTATTGTGTCATCATTTAAAACAAAAGTAACTGTTAGTTAGTTAGATACAATGTAGGATCGGGCACATATATGGATCGGTTCAAGGTCCCATACCGCATTAGCACAACAAGATGAACACCGGATTCATAGAAGTAGTTAATTCAGTGGTGGTAATATATGGAAGAAAGATTGCATATAAGGAGATAGTACAAGAAGAAAGAATTAGTTCGTGGAAAAAAAGATATGAAGTGATTTTAATCTCTTAGTTTAAAGGAAGATAGAGAGTGTATACACCGACGCCATTGTGATCGATTCTGAACCATGTCACCCAGAGTCGCCAACTATTGGTTATGCTAGTCAAGCGGACCCGACTAAGTAGTGAGTATCTTTCAAAATGGCTAAGACTAGAAATTAGTGACTTCAAGCACTGATACAAGTACATACAGCTGATGAGTTTGAAATGGGACGAAACGCGCATCCTGGATTCCACTGCTAGCCACTATTCATTTCTGATTAGAATGCTTGTGAATAAAGGCAATATTGAGAAAACACTTAATGGATGCACATATACCAATAAGAGATTGATCGATTGCAGTCCTACATGGATGTTGAATATCTTGCGTAGTCAACCATTTATAAATACTTGTACCTTCTTGATGTTTGTTGTAGTAGTTCTTAAAGTTTCAGTTCGGTAAAGTAGAACTGTCTTGATGTTCGTTATAGAACAAAGCAAAATGACGCGCAATGGAAAAGGCATGTGAGCCAACTCGATGTCATGAAGCGTTAATCGATATTTGTAACCAAATAGAAATCAATTACAGATATGTGATGAATAGGATAAGAAGTGCATACACATACTCTGATTTAAAAACAATCAAGGTTGATAACTGAATAAATAACAAGGTGAAGATGTGACTCAAGAAGAATGAATGAATTGGTCTGATAGGAAACTAGAATAAGCTATGTGGGCTCGACATGGAACTAGCTACTACATACTCTCCACCAAAGACATCGAATTGCTCTCTTTTATTTGCTTCATTGCTCTAATCATTTGTCTGGATCAACTATTGCATAAAATATACATATTCAAAATCCATCATCTTATTTGACTGATTTAATTCTGTTATTCACTGGACTCGATTTAAGTCGATGATTATATATTAGGGTAGCTAAGATTTCTATTTCAATAACAACCAGCATACGACCTAATTGGAGTCAGATACTGGGCCATCGTCAAGAACTATTGGCTCTTAATGAACAGTTCACCGAATGGACTCATAGACAAGATTGATATCTTTGGCGGAGAGTATATAATGGATGGTTCTATGTTGAGCCCACATAGTTCATTCTGGCTACTGAACAAACCGACTTATCCATTCTTCTGAAATCATATTTTTAAACTTGTCACTGATTCACTTATCAACCTGGACTAGTTTTATGTAAGCATATATGTGTGTGCATTTCTTATCCTATTCATCAAATGTAATTTCTGTTCAACCATAAATATCGATTAACGCTTGATGAAATCAAGTTGGCTAACATACTTTGTCCACTGCTCATGATTTCGCTTCTCTCTCTCTCTTCACTTCCCTTTGTTCGCTTCGTTTCTCCGATCATTTGTCTAAATCAAGGATTGGCGACATATATATATATATATATATATATATATATATATATATATATATATATATATAACGATAGTAACCATTCAATAACAATCTAATTGTAGTCCAAACCCTATGGTGGAGAAGATTTGTAGCTCAGGTGGATGATTTTGATGGAGTTTTGTTCTCTGAGCTGGATGATTTGGTCGTGGAGCTTTCATCGTTCTTCTGAATAACATCGTCAGCATAAAACTTTATTTATATTAATCTTGATTTTATTCTTCTTTTTAAATTCATCTTTTAAGTTTGCCAACTAACAATTAGGGTGTAACTATAATAAACCGATATGACCTTGAATGACCGTAAAATAATCTTGTAAACCTTTACCCCACCACACACATATACACACCTCCCATTATTGATTAATCAAAAGGCAAGTTCTATGAAACCAGATACATTAAAAACGATTAAGTTTACAGCTTTTTTTTATAATGCCTATTCAGTTAAAATGTATGAGGGGGGGATCCTAAAAAGAGTTCACTTGATTTTACTGTTCATTGTAGTAAATGTTTTGAATAGGTAATTGAAGTATTGGATATGTTATGTAATTTAACTTTTATTGTGTAATTGTATAAGGATTATGGTTTATTGATTTTGAGAAATGAAGATATATTTACACTCAGATTAATGTATTAACTAACCATGAAAAACCCAATAAACTCCTTAAAAGCACCAAACATTTATTGATTTTATTACTTCAGCAGTGCGCATCCACGATCCCGTTATCAGAATTTAAACACAGAACCTTCGGTGTTGCGCGCGAACGCTGAAGCTTTAAGCCATTCAGCCGACGTTTAACGGTGTTAATGTCTAACTAACGCGAGACCGAAAGCCTTGCGTCCGAATCCCGTGTGCGAGATTGAGGAGGTGCATTGCTGAAAAGTCCCACAATAGAACGAAACGGCCGTCCAGTGCTTTTGGCTTTCCAATGGTGATCTCACTTCAATCGATTCATGATCTCAAACAAATAGTCTCCATAACCCTATCCGGATGTTCATTACTTCCATCGCAAAATACTTTGACTGATAAAAACTATCTAATTATTGATTAAAAATACAACTTCAAAATCATACTATCATCTAAAGAATCATTCCATTCCATTCTCTATCCTATGTTTTTCTTTATAATGTTTTTGATTGAGATCATGAACCGATTGATATTAGACAATCATTAAAAACCTGGAAGTACTGGACAGCCATTTCGTCCTATTGTAGGGCTCTTCAGCATTGCACATCCACGATGTCTGTACTGATATTAGTCAATGTATACTGGATTTTTCTTCTGCATGATGAGTAATTATTGATGAGAAGAAATTGTAAAATAGAATGAAATCATGCTTAACTCAATACACCTTGGAGAACCTTCGTTTAAGTATATATATATATATATATATATATATATATATATATATATAGGCATGTATGTGTGTATTTGTGTATGTCTGTTCCAAGTACATCTATAAATTTTATGGAAATATATATGAATATAATCCTACATTTATGGTTTTATTTTATGTATCGCTATATATATTACTTTTTTAATATACTACTAAATTGATGATAATGATGATGATGCTTCGGATGATGATGATGATGCTTCGGATGATGATGAAGATGATGATGATGCTTCGGATGATGATGATGATGATGCTTCGGATGATGATGATGATGATGATGCTTTGGATGATGATGATGATGATGATGCTTCGGATGATGACGATGATGATGATGATGCTTCGGATGATGACGATGATGATGATGATGATGATGCTTCGGATGATGATGATGATGATGCTTCGGATGGTGATGATGATGATGATGCTTCGGATGATGATGATGATGATGCTTCGGATGATGATGATGATGATGATGATGATGATGATGATGATGATGATGATGATGATGATGATGATGATGATGATGATGATCCAATATCAACCCTTAAAATTGATACTAAAGCTTAAATTACCTAACAATAATCACCTATTACCATCATTGAATCATTTTAGATCAGTTTATTAATTACTTTAAACATCTGAAGTGTTTCTTTTCTTTTCTTTTTTGTTAATGACACAAATAAGAAAGAAAAATAGAGAAACACAATTTCTTTTATTGAACTAAACTTTATTTTAAAAAAAATAAGATTTAATCATAGAAATTAAAATAATATTCATCTATGAATGATAAAAGCGTTTTATACAATGAATGTCGGGTGCCTGCATACATAGAGAGGGAGAGGGAGCAAGATAGAGAGGGACAGAGAGAGGGAGGGAGATTGTCATTTTTTAGGACAGGAAATCTACGGAATCACATTTCCTGCATTTATATATACATCTATAAGGTAAAGTCGAATAAGTGTTTCCTGTAGAGATAATATTGTTGTGTTTGTTCTAAGGAGTAAACAAAGGTATGTATAGATATATATACATACATACATATTAGATGTTTACACCTTTTAAGTGAAGAAATGATCTAAGTGTTTATTTATCAAACGGATTGATTTCATATAGATGATATTTAACTATGTATATACACTAGACTTCAAACATGAATATCAGAAAGTGTTTGGTAGATATCATAGTAATTTCAATGGTTGAGATCATGATTCAGTTGAAGCTAGACCAACATAGAAAACCTCGAAGTACTGGACGGCCGTTTCATCAAAAGGTATGTCCTGGAGTTCTAGTTAGAAGCTGTCACCAGCAGAATTCAACCGGCTCTGTTTTGAGATAGTAACTTAATGAAGTCAATGGTGGATATATCGCTCAATTTCGTGGATGCTGACTCAGTGGTCTAGAATTTAAGCGCTCATGAGCGAAACTGATAGGTCCTGGGTTCGAATCTCTATCGTGGTGATATCGTGGATGCGCACTGATAAGGAGGAGTCCCACAATAGAACGAGACAGCCATTCTGTGCTTTAAGGATTTCCATGGTGGTCTAGCTTCAGTTGAATCATGATCCCAACTAATAAAAATGAAACATTAAGCTTGTTTATAATTAAGAAAGCTTATTGTTTTGTGATCTGAAATCTAACTCAAATTAGAATGTATGAATGAATCTTGTCAAAATATACATCCTGACTATTCACGTGTATAACCATTGACTTGACTTGTCTTAGTGATTGGATGTTTTGAATACGTATATTTTGTACAATCATTGATCTGGACATATAATCAGAGGAACGAAACTCAATGACGTGCACTGGAGAAAGCAAGTTAGCTAACTCGATTTAATCATGTGTCAACAAGAACACGTTATAGATATATGATGAATGGGATAGACAATGTGCACTCATACGCTTACATAAAAACAGTCAAGATTGATAATTAACAAGGTAGAAATATAGCTTGAGGAGAATGAATAGATTTTTTTGTTCAGAAGCTAGAAAACGTTATATGGGCTTAATATAGTAACCTACACTATATGTTTCATAGGCCGCCGACCAGCGCACTGCAACCCAATCTGTCCTCGACCTTCTTTTCTAGTTATATCCAACTGTTATTCATTTCCTCATGTCTGTCTCCATTTCCCAACGTAATGTGTGCTTTGGTCTTCCTCTCCTCCTTCGACCGTGAGGATTCAATGTGAGGACTTGTCTTGTGACACAGTTCGGTGCTTTCCTCAATATGTGTCTTATCCACTTCCAGTACTTCTTCCTGATTTCTTCCTCCAATGGAATCTCGTTTGTTCTCTCCCACAGTAGGTTGTTACTGATAGTTTCTGGCTGACAGATCCGAAGTATTTTGCGTAGACAACTATTAATAAACACTTGTATCTTCTGGATGATTGCTTTCGTACTTATTCAAGTTTCTGCCCCATACAATAGAACTGTCTTGACATTTATATTGAAAATCTTGACCTTGATGTTGGTTGCCAATTGTTTTGAGTCCCAGATATTCTTCAGTTGTAAATATGCTGCTCTTGCTTTGACGATCCATGCCTCCAAATCTGCATCAGATCCACCGTTTTCATCAATGATGCTGTCCAAATATGTAGAGGTATTTACATCTTCCAAATCTTCTCCATTAAGTGTGATTGGATTGATGCATGCTGTGTTGTACCGGAGAATCTTGCTTTTCCATTTGTGTATATTGAGACCTACTGCTGGTGAGGCTGCAGCTACACTGGTTGTATTCTCCTGCATTTGTTGTTGCGTTTGCGATAGAAGAGCCAGATCTGACGGAGTTAAATGACATATTGTCAATTAGTAAATAATGAAATAATGTTATCTACATCTAATGTTGTATCTATCAGTGACTGACATCATGTTAGATCGTTTATTGACAAGGTGTATCTAAGCAGAGAGTGTGACAATTAGAAATGTGAAACGATTCATGGAGCAAATAACACAGACTTACTTACTTACTTACGTCTGTTACTCCTCGCAAAGGAGCATAGGCCGATCACCATCATTTTCCATCCAACCTTGTCTTGATCAATCCTTTCCAGCTCTTTCCAGTTATTGTTATTCATCATTTTCATATCTGCTTCTATTTCCCGACATAATGTGTTGTTTGGCCCTCTACTTTTTCGCTTCCCCTCAGGATTCCAAGTAAGCGCTTGCCTCGTGATGCAGTTTTATGATTTTCGTAATGTATTTCTTGTCCATTTCCATTGTGTTTTCCTATTGTCCTCTTCATCTTGAAGCTGGTTTGTTCAAACACAAAGACTGTAGATGTTTAAAACATCTGTATAGTATTCCATAGTGTTTCTGAAACATTTTCGTATGCTAACATCACTAGGCAATGACCAATTATATGTATTTCAAGTGTTTCTTAGTACTCATCGAATTTTATTGGTGAATTTGCACTATATTATGTATAGTGTGCTCAATGCTGAATCACTTAGATTATAGATCATACTGTAGTCTGATCAATGGGATTCGAACAGAACTAATAGGGATTTGGAATAAATGACATTGGTCATTATTCAACTAAATCTCAGTACTGTAAAAGGTCAGTCATGGCTTAAATAGTTTAATTGTAACATTTATAACTATGAATTTTGATGACACGATCGAATCCACTGGCAAATATCAGCTCCCTTCAAAATTACTGGTACACCATGTTGTTAAATGCAAAATAACACGAAGTATAGGTCAGTCAGTCAGCTAAAATGTAGAACCAGGAACATATAAGCATCGGTTCAAGTTACTACACTCCATTAGCACAACGAGATGAACACCTAATTTATCGAAGTAGTTAATTCAATGGTGGTAATGTATATATGAAAGATTGTGTAAACGGATATAATACAGGACGAAAGAATTAGTCCGTAGAAAGAGAGATATAAAGTAATTTTAATCTCACGGTTGAAGGGAAGACGAAGAAAAGAGTGTATACACCTACGCGATTAAGATCGATTCTGAACCATGTCATCAAGAGTCTCCAACTATTAGTTACGATAGTCACGCGGACCCCAACTAAGTAATGTGTATCTGCCAAAATGGCTAAGACTAGAAGTTAGTGACTTAAAGGACTGATGCCACGTTTTGGTTCGGTGTAGACAGCTATTTGATAAATACTTGTACCTTCTTGATAATGATTGTAGTAGTTCTAGAAGTTTCAGCTCCATACAGTAGAACTGTCTTATTGTTCGTATTGAAGATTCTCACTATCATATTGGTTGACAGTTGTTTTGAGTTCCATATGTTCTTTAATAGTAGGAATGTGGCCCTTATTTTGTCAATCCTTGCCTTTACGTCTGCATCTGCTCCTTCTTGTTCTTCGATGATGTTTCCCAGGTACTTGAACGATTCCACATCTTCCAGAGTTTCGCCATCAAGTGTGATTGAGCTAATGTTCGCCATGTTGTATTTGAGGATCTTAGTTTTACCCTTGTGTATGTTGAGGTCTACTGATGTAGAGACTACTGTTACACTGGTTGTCTCCGTCTGCATTTGTTTGTGTGTATGGGATAGAAGGGCTAGGTCATCTGCAAAATCCAAGTCGTCTAATTGGTTTTGAGTTGTCTATTCTATTTCACTCTTTCCTTCAGATATTGAGGTCTTCGTTTCACTTTGTACGAACATTTAATATAATTTACTATTAAAGTTATTAGTATTCATATTTAGTTTATAGTAAGAATGAAGACCTAATGATGTTGAACTTTTGAACTTCTAAAAGAAAAGAAAAAAACAACAGCTATGAATGAACTTAAAATACAAAATGTAAATGAATTCTATCTTAATTAACACCTTTACTATTAACGTCTGATAATCATCGGTTCGAGCCCTTTTTGGCGTTATCTAAGTATCTTGTTTCCATAACAATAATGTAATTTGTACTTCACATCTTTGTCAAGTGATATTTTCTGGAGTTCTAGTGGGAAACATTGACCAATAGAGTTCAACTGTGTCTGTTGTGAGATAGTTACTTACTGAAGACAATAAGGGTCGATGTCACTATCTCATGGATTAGTTGAAGTTAGATATTAACACTGTTGAATGCTAGCTCATTGGTCTAGAAGTTAATCGTTCGCGCGCAAAATTCTAGGTTCAAATCCGGCCAGAGAGGTTGTGGACGAAACGGCCGTCTAATATTTCCAAATTTTCCATGATTGCCTGACTTTAATCAACTCATGAAGTAGTTAGCAACATAGCTGATGATGATGATGCTTCGGATGATGATGATGATGATGATGATGATGCTTCGGATGATGATGATGATGATGCTTCGGATGATGACGATGATGATGATGATGCTTCGGATGATGATGATGATGATGCTTCGGATGATGATGATGATGATGATGCTTCGGATGATGATGATGATGATGATGCTTCGGATGATGATGATGATGATGATGATGCTTCGGATGATGATGATGATGATGATGCTTCGGATGATGATGATGATGATGCTTCGGATGGTGATGATGATGATGATGATGATCGGATACTACGTAAATATATATATATATATATATATATATATATATATATATATATATATATATATATATATATATATATACAGATGTAGTTATTCGGT